TTGAGGCTGCACACTTTTAGAGGTATTTTTATTTCCAGGCTGTAATAGTGACAATTTTTTGCAAAACATTACCTACCTTAAAAATAAATTTTAAGTTTTTACAACTGAATACTGAAAATATTGTATGTAAAACATTAAACAATACTTTATCCTCGACTGCATATGTGTGTATTTGTAGTATCATTGTACATATGTATTAGAGTTGTTTTATTATAAATGGGTTTTTTATTTAAAAAAAAGTACAAGATTTTAGACTAGATTAGACACTATTTTAAACTTGAATTTTATTTAAAAAAGACAACTAAATTTGTTTCAATAAATTAATAACATTTTTGTAAAACCCTTTTACTGTTGAAATATTAGGTAATATTAGAGGGCCTAAAAGTTTTTAATAAAGCATAATCAAACAAAATGTCGATAATTATTCTAGATTAATATAAAGCAGCACTGGCGCTTTATTTTTTAGTCAGACCTAGGGGTGTGGAATCGTAAAAAAAAAGTAACGACTCCGACTCCAGTTGTTGAAATTTTTTGAGCACATCTCCGGCACCAACTCCAAAACAAAATTTTTGAAAAATTCTTTGAATTCTTAAAAAAATGTTACGCAATAAGTTACAAATTTCTTTTTTTGACAAATTTATGAAACGTGTTTGAGGTTTAGTATGAACTTAAGGTTAATTGAATGTTTTGTACATGCAACTGCAATACCGAGAAGTTTTTACTATTGGAGTCAGAGTCGCGATTTTGTTTAGCGACTCCGCTAAAAATATCGCGACTCCGACTCTACAGCCCTGGTCAGACCTCATCATATATAAAACCCTTAGGTTTTCTTGGAGATTTACTTAGATTATTTGGAGACCTTATAAGTAAAACATAAATAAACAAGTATATCAAAAACATTTTTGAAAATAATCTTTTAAAGCGGAGCACGTGTCCCGACCACCCGCTCGAAGCATTTTCAAAGAATCTCTGATAAAATTATACCTTTATCGGAAAAATAAAATATTAAAAAGTGGGGTAGGCCCCCGGTGTGCCGGCAGCTTAGGACCGAGGGGTTATCGACCCTGAAAACGTAAATAGGGACTATACTAATGCTAAAAGTTTCAGAGATCTAGTTAATCCAGAAGATAATGAAAAATCAATGCTAAGATACCGCTACGAAAAAGTGGGGCAACTGCGCCAGCCTTTGATGTCTTCGGACCTAAATTAAATTATAAAACGCATTGTCAAATCACAAATGCTGAAAGTTTTAGAACTCTAGCTGTTATTTAATTATAGCTGTTTAGCTTCAGAAGTTAAACATCAATTGCAAGATTACGTGACAAATTTAAAAAGGGAAAAAAAATTAAAGGTTGTAAAAATTAGACAAGTTTTTTTAGTGATCTTGGAGTCAGTTATCGTGTGTTGATTTACACTCATTCACGATGATTTTTTTTTTTAATTGAAAATAATAAAATACTTTTGTATCTAAACTTGCATAAGATTTTTAATCAGAAAATCAATATCAGGAAAAAGAGAAAAAAAGGGGCAGCATTAAAAATATTCGCGAGGGCGGCCGGCACTGTTTAGATTCATTGAATATTTATTTTGTTTTTCCATAAATATATACTGAAAATTGTTCATTAATATACATAAAATATTTATGCTTAAATTGTTCGTTCTTTATCTCAAAAAAGAAAGTTTTTAATATGCATTAAAAAGGGTGATTAAGTTAATTTAAAACTGTATTAAGATCCTACCCTTTTTTAAACAATATTTTCAACCGCTTCTCTCTTTGATTAAGAGCACCTATTAAAGCTGTAACTAAAGGCTGTCTACCTCCTCTCCCCTCCGGTTTATCTGGCACAAGTTAATGTTACAAGTTAACAAAATGTAACAATGTAACAAGTTAACAAAAAATTCCAAATCAAAGTAAGATAAAATGTAACAATTCACAATTTAAGTCATAATTTCTTTGAATAACAATTTGAAAAATACATAATATCTGGAAAAATACAAATTAAAACAACAAAAAAAAAAACAACAACAAATTAAAACGACATCAAAAACTTATAAACATTCTAAATGATCAAATGAAACAGTGGTTTTATCTACCCCTCCCCCTTTCTTAAGACATTGACCTGGACCCGCCGCTAAAGCGTACTAGGTATTTTCCAAGTTTAAGAAATTCATATTCACAATTTATTATTATCTCCAAAAACTAAAATTTTGTGTTGCTTTTGTTAACAATGTTTAATCGTTTAATAATTAATCAAAAAATAAAAAATTTATTTCAAAAGCATTTTATTGCCAATATTTTGTTTCCATATTTGACTAGTACTAACCTTAGAAAAAACAAAATAAAATTGTTTGAAGGCTTGATAGCTAGTAACTCAAACAACTAATAATTTTTAAAAAGCAGCAGAACAATCATAATAAAACGGAGGTTAATTATCAAACTTGTAAGCTGACAGTAAAGACAAACAAAAAATATATTGTAATAATTATAGATTGAAATATATTAATCATATTAATTATATATAATATTAAAAGCAACACTGATCTGGAAGGCGATATGAGCTTCTTGGTTAATACTCTTCCCCAGTGCTCTATGAAAACCATTAAGTTTTCTTAGAGCATTTTAAAAATACTTGTTTTTTTATTAATAATGAACTTTTGCAATTCGAACTCCTATAATTAGAAAGATCATTTAAATCAAACAAATTATTTGGTCCCTTTTTAATTTAATATTAAGGATTGAACTCCTTTAATTTAAAAACTCATTTAATTTGATTTAAATTTTAAGACCCATTAGGCCGGGTGAATAAAAATGAGCAATTGCTTTAACTCAGTAATTGGTCAGCTTTATGTGAATAAAAACTTAAGGAATTTTGCTCAAATATTCACGTAAAGCTGAGCAATTACCTATTGCTTAACTTTATGTGAATAAAAATTTGAGCAAAACTTCTGAAATTTTTATTCACGTAAAGCTGACCAATTACTGAGTAAAAGCAATTACTCATTTTTATTCACCCGGCCTATTGAGGATATCTATTACGCAAGTTTAACTCATGTAATTGGAATCCTCAAGAGGTCCTAAAATATGCTCCAATTAATTGAATTTTCAAATTATATGAGTTCAATCCTTAATATTAAATTTAGAAGAGACCAAATAATTTTTTTTGATTTAAATTGTCTTTCAAATTATAGAAGTTTGAATTACGAAAATTTAACAATAAACTTAAATTAACAATAAAATAGTTTGGTTTGAACAGGTTTCCCATAATGCCATTTGGCTAATTTAACAAATAAAACATATAAAAATAAAAACATATAACAATAACATTTTAAAAATTATTTAAAAAACACTATTTATTTGTCTTAACTAATCGCTTACGTTTTGGCAATGGGGAACTACTAATGTCACTAAATGTGCTATTGGAATGAACATTACCAGCAATTGGTCGTATTGAAAACTGAGATTTTATGATGTTATCATTATATCCTACATCTCGTACTGATGGATTGTCTTGTCGCCTACCAATTGCTCTTTGTCTACCAAAATAATTTTCCAGGTCATCCTGACAGAACCTTTCTGATAGTACATATTTTAAACCATTTTCTAATAAAAACTTTACTACTTCTTTAAATGAATATACAGTTATTTTAAGTCCTTCATATGTTTGCCAAGATAAAAACATTTTTGATTTTGAATTATCATTGTAGTGTCCTGCCCTTGTTTCTATTGAGACTTTCCATAAACGTAAATATTCAAGAAATTCATCCAACCAATGATATCTTTCATCAGTAAGAGATTCATATGGTTTTAAAAATGGCTTTTTTTTTAATCTGTGATCAAATGTATTTCGAACATTCAGACAATCAAAAAATTTATCCATCATTATACAAAAAGTAGATGTACCTGCTGCCTCTGGTGGCCCAAAATTGGCCAAAACGCTGCCGACAGTCTCACTTAATACCTGTGCTGCAAGACTAACTTTCATAGCAGAATATGGTGTTAAATGTATATGATCATTTGTAAGCTTTGGTACAAATTTCAAACCACTTTCTAGTTGTTCTTCAAAAATTTGCTGAATGTGTGACCAAAGAAGAAAAAACCCATTATTCCACATCAATCTAGTTGAATGCCCTGTTCCAGAATGCGATAAACAGTTTCTTGCTGTTTTCATAAGATGTGGAACATCAGCAAAAAAATAAATAAAGTGGTGTTTTTTAGAAAAAATATTTTTGGTGCGATAAATAACATCTTTATCAGAACAACCTTGAAGAAATTTATGCATTTTGAAAAAGCGACGATTCGATGAAGCACCATCTGATGTCGTGGAAATAACATGCAAGTTTATTAGTTCCAGATAACAAACTGCCTTCCAAAAAATTGGCATTATTTGATGAGCAAGTATACCTGTTGTAGCAAATGTTGCAAAACTAAAAGAAAGAGGATTGACAATACTTTTTACAAGAAAAACTAAAATGTATGTGGCAATAGTTTCTACATTTTTAAGTGTTCCATAATTGATATTGTTATCTCCTAAATCTACGAAACCAATAAGTTCACCTGAGTATTTGTCCCACACAAGATCTTCTTGGATTTTCATTTCATCGAAAATAATGCCTACAAATCTTTCTGGTTCAGTAAAACTTTCAGTCTTTAACTTGAGATCATTTATAACAGCAGGATTAAAACCTCTAGTTGGATGAATATAATGTTTATAATCTCTAAGTGTTCGTAAACTAGGAAGAACTAAAATACCGTTACCAGTTTTTTTATCATAACGAAGATCACTATAAGCAGATGAAGATTTAGCTGCTAAATTTAAACAAAATTTGATAATCATTGGATGATATTTTACATTGTTGGAACAAGAGGTTTGAATATATTTTTGTTGTTCTGACCAAAAGAGCTTCATAAAATTCGGAACATCAGCTTGGTCACATGCTGAAAATAATATTTTAAAATCTTCATCGATTTGAGAATGTACAGTTTCACTGTGCTCTTCTATAGCAGATCGCATATTTAAAAGTTCTTGCTCAAGTTGTTTACATTTTAAACGATTATTTTGCAAAGTTAATTTTATCCTATTTGGAGAAATAAATTTAATAGGAGCATTTAGTTTGGCTGGTTTATTTATAGTAGATAACTTACTTTTTTCTTCTGAAGATACTTTTTGGACACAAATACGACAATCTGCACATGTATTTATATCATCCTTATTTAAAAGGAGTCGACAATTATTAGAACGAAAATACTGATCTTGATTTAAGTGTGGTTTAAATGCTAATTGCTGGTAGTCATGGTAATTGAATTTCTTAGGGATGACATGCTTTTGGAATTGGAGCTCTTTACTTATATTTGGAACTTCAATTCCCTTACACAATTCATAATGCTCAAGTAAAAAAGTAAAGGTCGATAAAGTAACATTTAAAAACGATCGAGAGAATTGCTTATAAAGATCGTGGTCTTCTGATAAAATCCATCCAAACACACGTAGAGTAAAATGAAGAGAATCATCCACAAAAATTTCATATCTTGGCAAGATATGATTTACAGATAAAAAAGTAATAACAACAAGATTGGTTTCAATATGAATCTCCCATGTATTTTTGATTGAAAGCTTAACTATGCGATTCACAAAGTCATCAAAGTTTTTGTATAAGGGCAAAGACACTACATTATCTAAAGATACAACATGTTCACTTCGCTTTTGAATTGAAGAAGTAGATCGGTTTGAGAATAAAACAGCAGGAGAACTTTTACAAGGTAAATTTAACTGTGGCAATTCTCCTTCTTTCAGTGATTTTTTTCTGTCATCTGAAAAGTAATAAAATAAAATTAATATAACAACTACTATGTAATAAGCTATTTATATTTATAAATAAATTATTGTAATTATATATATATATATATATATATTTAAGCATATATATATATATATATTTTTTGCATATTTATATATATATATATATATATATATATATATATATATATATATATATATATATATATATATATATATATATATATATATATATATATATATATATATATTTATACAATTATACTATATCATAGTATAGTTTTCATATATTTATATAAGTTCTTGATTTCAATAATAAACGATTACTTACAAATATAATATTGATCAACACTGAAATGCTGTTCCCATATGAATAACTTTCTGGTACGAATACGTTCTCGTAATGAGGCATCGACAACCCTATCTTTAGTAATAACATGTATCAAATCATCACCCCATTTTTTGTTGAACTCAGAATTAGATAAAGGGACTTTAAAAAAACTGATTCCTTTATTACGTCTTGATGCAGAACACCCATATATAGCACAATTTTCTCCAGGCATTATAAATCAAAACAAAAACACAGTTAAAACTCAAGAATAATAAGGAAAAATTTGCGAATTGTGCAGGATGGGAGAGCTGGAACCTATATTTTTTTTTAATGAAAGAGTTAAAACAATAAACCTTTGTTCGTTTCCGGACTATCTATTTCTTGTGACTATGGTTAGGAATGATTTAAGTGCTTCTGATAGCGATAAAGAAATTTTGACTATTGAAATTATGAACAATCAATCTAAAAACATATTATTAAGCTGTTGTTATCGCCCACCTGACGGCGTGAGCGAGAACTTGAGCATTTTTTTTGAACAAAGTATTTTCAAAAAAGGTATTAAAGAAAACAAAAAGAACTTCATTATTGGAGACCTAAATATGAATTGTTTTCTTTATAATGAAGATAACAAAATTAAAAACTTTTACGACTCCTTTTTTGAGGCGGGAGCAATTCCTTTAATAAACAGGCCAACTAGAGTAACAAAAAACTCGACGTCTTTGATTGATAATATTATTACAACAGATATATTCAACAATAATATTCAAACAGGTATCCTAAAATCTGATATAACTGACCATTTTCCAATATTCTTGACAATTAATTCTGAAATTAAAAATAAAATAAACAAAATTAAAATCCGCATTTTTAACCATACAAATATAAAGTTGTTTAAAAACCAACTATCGTTACTGCACTGGAAGCATATTAACTTCAATGACAATGCAGACAAAATTTATGATAACTTTTATGAAACCTTTTACTCCGTTTATGACGCAAACTTTCCTATTATTGAAAAGACAATAACTCCAAAATATAAAAATAACCCCTGGATAACAAAAGGATTTAAAAAATCATCCAAGATTAAACAAAAGCTGTATATAAAATATCTTAACCCTTTATTGCATGACAGACATAAAATACATATTTTTAATAGAACTTTTTTTATTTGAAGCTAAATATCATTTTTAATTTGAAGCTAAAAAACTACATCATTTTATAGAAAAAAGTGTCCTAAAAAATTGTCTAATCAAATGGACATTATGCAATAGAGGGAATAGAAAAATAAATACAAACTAAGCAAACATCATTTGATGTATATATTAATATGATTTACACATATATAACTATTATAACATGAAATAATGATTTACACATATATGATATGAATATAAACATATATGATATGTGGGTCGTTCCGTGCCAAATGGTCTAAAATTTTAGGATTCCAACATGGACCCCCTCAGATTTTGATGAAACTTAGTGGGTTGGTTTATATCAATGAGAAAAGCAATTCCTGAAAATTTCAGCTTCAAATCTTATGTGGTTCATGAGATATGGCCATTTGAAATTTCTGATTTTTCCAAAAATAAAAACTTCAGTAGCAAAAACATGTTTTGTTCATACTTTGAAGCTCTGTATTTTAATAACTAAATTTCAGAAAACCTTCTAGTTTTTTTTATCATATACAATGCTAGGCTTACTTTGTTAAAACTTTGACATTAAATTTTTAAATGTCACATTTTATCCATAATGGCTGCCTAAAAAACCGAAAAAATTGTTTGCAGATATAGAAAGTTGATTTTTGATGGGTCAATATACAAAACTAGCAATTTAAGAAGTAAAAATACATATCTTTTTAGTTTCTATATATGGTAGGCTTCCTAACTTTCAGAAATTTGCTGATATGATACAATTCAGTAAGAAATTATGGACCCCTAAAAATGGCTCCGGCTAGAACTTACAAAATTGTGCCTTCCTTTAAATCCACTGGTAACCTATGATCAACACTGATTTTCATGATATACTTTTTTTCTACTCATTTAGTAGACTTTATTAAAGTGATTTCAGAAAAAAAAATAGTGGGTACTCATGGGGAAGTTACAAAGTCAGAACAATGAAGTTGGCACAAAATGCATTAAAAACGCAAAAAATAGAGATATTGATGTACTTTAGTATTCATTATTTACTGCAATGCAAAAAAATGTATATTTATATGAAAGTATATCAAAATCAATGCTATAAATTAGCTTTAAATTAGGACTGAATTAAACTCAGGTTTTAAATAACCTTAGTTGCCCCCCCTGTCTTTTTATTTTTTAACATATATACATACATATGTATTTTCTCCCAGAACTTATCTTAAAAGAAATATGTTATTGTATGTTTTACTTTACAAAATGTGTCTGGTTTTTTTTCTAATGCATGAAGTGTTAATGCACAAAATAACAATTGAACATACACAGTTAAAAGCTGTGACATGGCAAACAAGCTATTGGGTGTACCTTTTATCTTCAATTTCGTATATAAAATTTATCATTCTATACTTATTTATTGTGTCAAAACTTATGGAAACTTTAGTTTACACTTCTAAAATTGAAAATAAATATATTTTTTTTAGATAATAATTAAAAATAAATGGCAAGTTCATCTTTAGATCTAACTCAATGTTGCATTGGAAAAAAATTAAATGAAAATTGTCATGAAGGAAAATTTACGAAAATCAAGAAAATTAAATTTTTTAAGGAATTAACAAAAAAAGATCAAGAGCTTGTGCACTTAAGATGTATAATCCTATTAAAACTATTTGTAATCACCATGAAAAGATCTTCTTGGATAGATTTGAGTCATCGTATGTTGGAAGCTTTTGTTGCGATCCTTTTAACAAACACAAAATTAAAATTAAAAGTATTTAAAAATAGATTAACTTAATGATTATATTAAAGATAAAGTCTTCTTTATTTATTTAATTAGTGTTTTATCATATATTTTTTTAGAATCTGTCATAGTAATCAGTGCTGCTGTTGCAAAGGAATTTGATTTTATACCTGGTTATAAGCTTTGTACAGAATGTCGTAAAATATTGCACTTAAGAAAACAAGAACATGAAAGCGATTCATGTAAAAATCAAGATAACGATTTTAACGGGATTCATATTTCAAAAGAAAACTTTAATTTAAGCATTAACACCTTTGGTTGTTCACCTCTAAAACTAGTAGCTTATAAAGACAGAGTAAGCTATGCAAAAAGAAAGATTAACAAGATCCATACTGCAACCAAAAAGAAAATAGCAACTGTTTTAGATGTTTCTCCGGATTTAATAAATGATGAACCAAAAACAAAAGAACTTTGTTGCAAAAGTAAACAAGATTTGGACTCACTAATGGAATTAATTAAAGCAAAGTTTGATATTTCTTCAAAACCAGAAAAACTTAAATTGCTAACTTTGGTTCCTGAGAGTTGGAACATTAACTATACAGAAAACTATTTTTCTGCTTCCCAAAGAATGATAAAAACTGCAAGGCATTTGAAACAAATGCATGGCATAATGGCGGAGCCATCTAAAAAAGAAGGAAGATCTATTAGTGAGAAAGTAAAAAATCTAGTCCATGAATTTTACCAATCAGATGAATACTCTAAAATGTGTCCAGGAAAAAAACAGTATGTCTCAATCCAAGTTGATGGTAAAAGACAATATTTTCAAAAAAGACTGCTATTACTTAATATAAAAGAACTTTATTTAGAGTTTGTTAAAATTTCCTTAGATGTCAAGATTGGATTTTCTAAGTTTTGTGAACTTAGACCAAAGTGGTGTATTCCTGTTGGAGGTGCTTCAGGTCTCCACTCAGTATGCGTTTGTGAGTACCACCAGAATGCCAAACTTTTAGCATTAAAAATACCAGATATTTCAGACTATAAAAATCTCTTGACATTAGTTGTATGTGACTTAACAAATCGAGACTGCATGCTAAATTGTTGTGATAACTGCCCAGATAATGACACACTTAAAGAGTATCTTACTACTTTGTTTGATAAACATAGCATTGAAGAAACCAACTTTAATCAGTGGCAAAAAGCTAACAAAAAACATGATATAGTTCCGGTAACTCTTCCAGTGGACGATTTTATTGAAAAAGCTTGTCAACAAATAGACCAATTAAGAGACCATCACTATATAGCCAAAAATCAAGCAACATATTTGCAGCATCTAAAATTCACATTAGCAAGTAATCATATTTTAATATTATTAGACTTTGCTGAGAATTACAGTTTTTTAATTCAAGATGCAGTACAAGGTTTCCATTGGAACAATAGCCAAGCAACATTGCATCCTTTTGTTATTTACTTTATGGAAGAAAACAAGATAAAATGTAAAAGTATTTGCATTATCTCAGATAATTTGCAACACAATACAAACTCAGTACATTGTTTCATTTATGAAGTATTAAAACATATAAAAAATATGATACCCTACTTTAACCACTGCATTTATTTCAGTGATGGTGCAAGTTCACAATACAAAAATTATAAAAACCTATCTAACTTATGTCACCATAAACAAGATCATGACGTATCTGCGGAATGGCATTTTTTTGCTACATCACATGGAAAGAGTGCGTGTGATGGTGTTGGGGGAACTGTCAAAAGACTTGTAGCAAGGGCAAGTTTACAATCACTAGTTGATCCTATCAATTCATCTAAAAAAATGTATGATTGGTGTAGACAAAATATTGATGGAATACATTTTCAACACATTTCAAATGATGCAGTTACATTACATTGCATGAAATTTAAATTAGAAGAACGTTATGCTACTTGTTCAACAATTCCAGGAACAAGAAACCACCATTGTTTTATACCACAATCATTAACTACTTTACAAATGAGACGGGTTTCATTCGACAATGTGTTTACTAATGTAAATATTTCAACAATGCAACAGAACTATACAATTCCACTTGCATCTCTTTCACCCGGAATTTATATAGCATGTGTTTATGATGGAAAATGGTTTTTAGGTAATATTGTGGAAATATCTGAAGAAAATCAAGATATCCTTATAAAGTTCATGAAGCAGTCTATTTCCTCTAACACTTTTACTTGGCCACATAGAGAAGATATTTGCTGGGTTCCAATAATGCACGTTCTATGCAAAATTTCATCTTTAAAAGTGCAATCAGCAACTGGTAGATGCTATGAACTATCAGCTCAAGAAAAAACTGAAATAATACATTTGTACAATAGTATGTTTAATAACGAAATTATATAATAACAAAGCAAAATTTTTATAAGCTTGATCAATCGAAAAAATGTATTAAAGCATACTTGAATGATTCCATCTTTATGTTGATGTTGTGTCTAATAAGCATTTACAAATAAATAACACAGCTATTATTTGAGTATGTTCAATACTTGGTGCATAAAGATACTTCATGCATCAGATATAATAACAGAAACACTGCATAAGCTAAAATGTTTAATAAACAGTAGTTTAAAATGTTATCAAGAAATAAGTTCTTCTTAAGATAAGAATGTTCTGGGCAAAAATACGCATTTAAAAAAATAAAAAGACAGGGTGGGGGGTGGGGGGCAACTAAGGTTATTTAAAACCTGAGTTTAATTCAGTCCTAATTTAAAGCTAATTTGTAGCAATGATTTTGATATACTTTCATATAAATATACATTTTTTTGCATTGCAGTAAATAATGAATACTAAAGTACATCAATATTTCTATTTTTTGCGTTTTTAACGCATTTTGTGCCAACTTCATTGTTCTGACTTTGTAACTTCCCCATGAGTACCCACTATTTTTTTTTCTGAAATCACTTTAATAAAGTCTACTAAATTAGTAGAAAAAAAGTATATCATGAAAATCAGTGTTGATCATAGGTTACCAGTGGATTTAAAGGAAGGCACAATTTTGTAAGTTCTAGCCGGAGCCATTTTTAGGGGTCCATAATTTCTTACTGAATTGTATCATATCAGTAAATTTCTGAAAATTAGGAAGCCTACCATATATTGAAACTAAAAAGATATGTATTTTTACTTCTTAAATTGCTAGTTTTGTATATTGACCCATCAAAAATCAACTTTCTATATCTGCAAACAATTTTTTCGGTTTTTTAGGCAGCCATTATGGATAAAATGTGACATTTAAAAATTTAATGTCAAAGTTTTAACAAAGTAAGCCTAGCATTGTATATGATAAAAAAAACTAGAAGGTTTTCTGAAATTTAGTTTTTAAAATACAGAGCTTCAAAGTATGAACAAAACATGTTTTTGCTACTGAAGTTTTTTATTTTGGAAAAATCAGAAATTTCAAATGGCCATATCTCATGAACCACATAAGATTTGAAGCTGAAATTTTCAGGAATTGCTTTTCTCATTGATATAAACCAACCCACTAAGTTTTATCAAAATCTGAGGGGGTCCATGTTTGACCCTGGTTCACTTGGCATGGAATGACCCATGTATATACACATACATGATATGAAACATCAAAATAAATGACTTTTTATGATAAAAGCACCCAAACGTTATTCTACACCATGAAATGCTAGAAAACATTTATTATTTGCAACACAAAGATATATTTTGCACTTTGAACATTGATACTTAGTCTTTTTGATACATGATTCATATTTACAACGTTGAGAGTTTTTAACATCTAGGAGAACAGGCCAATGGTTATGTTTATCAAGACGAACATCTTTTGGTATATCAACTGCTCTCATAGATCGGGAACCAGGCAATGCATTTTCATAATTTTTCATTGAGGTTGATTCATTCATGATCATTGATATGCAAATATCAGCCAAAAAATCAACCAAAGGTTTATTACCACCTATTTCACTATAAACAATCCAAGAATTGACTGCAGCTTGACTGAAAAGGTGGAAAGCTAACCTGTGATACCATTTTTTAGATCTATAGCGAGTGCAATAAAGAGAAAGAAGCATATCTGCCTTATCTACACCACCCATAAATTTATTATATATCTGAATGCAAGCAGGTCTCTTTACTTCAATTTTTTTTTTCTGTTTGGCATCATAACGTTTACATGTACCTACTGGGTTTTTTCCAATATAATTAGACAAGGTAAGTACACGTTTGTTATCAAACCAGGATGTAACAACAATTTTATTGTTTGTATCAACAAATTCTTTGATATATCCACGATTAAGCTTTCTCATTTCTTTTTCAGATAGTATTGGACAATTCCGAGAACGGTTTGGATTAAGAGTTGATAATGCCCATACCTTATAATTGGTTCTAAGGAAAATCATTAATTCAGGTGATGCAAAATAGTTATCAAAATATAGTGTATGCTTGAAAGGCAGCAAACTAAATTTGTTACATATATATATATATGTACTAAATTTGTTACATATATATATATATGTACTAAATTTGTTACATATATATATATATATATATATATATATATATATATATATATATATATATATATATATATATATATATATATATATATATATATATATATATATATATATATATATATATATATATATATATTTAAAAATTCCAGATACGCATTATGTCCATCTAAATGGACAATATATAAAAACAATAAAATGCTTTAGTAAATGTTCATGATGAAGGTAAAACTAACTATATTTCTTTTATTTAAATATTTATATGCAGGTTTCATAAGCTTTTAAAAGTATTTATACAAATATCATGACTCAACAATTAAAAATATATATACAGTATGCAAAAATTACCTAACACTGACTCCTCTTGAAGTTGCCATCTTTTTCAAAGAATTTTCGCGCAAGTTCAAAAAAAAATCTAATATCTTTAAAAAGACCAACCCCTACTTGGAGCAATACATTTTACAGTTAATCTTCAAACTAACTTATTTCAAGTCAGCATTGTTTTTAGTAAAGTCTATTCAAATGGACGGTATGCAATAAAGGGTTAAAACAAAATCATTAGATAATGAGAAAATATATAAAAATTACAAATATCTCTTTGAAAAAGTTCGTAAAAATTTGAAAAAAAATTATTACACAAGACTTCTAGATAAATTCAAAAATAACACAAAACGCAATTGGCAAATAATGAACGAAATTACTGGCAGACAAAACAAATGCTCAGGTTCTCTTCCCCAGATGGTTATAGTGGATAACAAACGCATATGCGAACCAAAAGCTATAGCTCATGAGTTTAATAAATTCTTCACTGACATTGGTCCTAAACTAGCAAATAAAATTCCTTATACCAAAGCAACATTTAACGATTTTCTAGTACAGATGGATAATGGCATTAGTTCCAACGAATTATATTCTGAGCTAACTTTTTATGAATTCGAAAAAGCATTCAAATCCCTTAAAAAAAACAAAGCAAACGGAGCAGATGACATAAACGGTAATATAGTTATAGAATGTTTTGAACAATTAAAAGATATACTTTTTAAGGTTTATGGAGCATCTATTCACCAAGGAGTTTTTCCGGATCAATTAAAAATTGCTAAAATTACCCCAATTTTAAAAGAGGGAGATCAAACAAATATTAGTAATTATCGTCCTATCTCCGTCCTCTGCACATTCTCAAAAATACTAGAACGCATTATGTATAATAGATTATACAATTATCTCCTTTCTAATAATTTGTTATACGCCAACCAGTTTGGTTTTAAAAAAAATAATTCGACGGAACATGCAATTATCCAACTTGTACGTGAAATTTCAAATTCTTTTGAAAAATCTAAATTTACATTAGGTGTTTTTATCGACCTATCGAAGGCGTTCGATACTGTAGATCATGAAATTTTGATACAAAAACTGAAATACTATGGAATAAATTCTAAAGTTATAAAATGGTTCCGAAGTTATTTATCTAACCGTAAACAATTTGTTTTTAGTAATAGTTGTTATCCAAATGAGTTCCTAAATGTTTCATGTGGCGTTCCTCAAGGTTCCATTTTGGGACCACTGTTGTTCTTGATTTATATAAACGACCTAAATAAAGCCTCAAATTTAATGAGTATAATGTTTGCTGATGACACCAACTTATTTCTTTCCGATAATGATATTTACAAACTCTTTTCTAGTATGAACGATGAACTTAAAAACATATCAAAATGGTTTATATGCAATAAGCTAATTCTTAACAGTAACAAAACAAAATGGATTCTCTTCCATCCAATCGCAAAAAAACCTTATTTACCCCAAAATTTACCAGAAATCTTTATTGATAATACTGTGATAAAAAGACACTATGTCACAAGGTTTTTGGGTGTTTTTCTTGATGAAAACATCACATCGAAAGCGCATATTGACTATATTAGCACAAAAATTTCTAAAAGCATTGGAATTTTATATAAATCGAGAACATATCTATGTAAAAAAGATTTAACCCAACTATACTTCACATTTATTCATACCTATTTAAATTATGCAAATATTGCTTGGGGAAGCACAGAAAAAAGCAAATTAAAATGTCTTTACCGCCGTCAGAAGCATGCGATCCGTTTAATTAATTTTGCGGATCGATACACTCATTCCAAACCTTTTTTTATTGAAATGAAAATTCTTAATATTTACGAACTTAATGTGTTTAATGTTTTATGCTTTATGTATTTGTGGAAAAATGACTTATCCCTACCTATCTTTAAAGTTCTCTTTTGTGAAAAACCAATAAATAAATATACTCTTAGAAATAATAAATTTTTGCATAAACCTTTTTGTCGAACAAAGTTTAACCAGTATGGTATTGCTTATCGTGCGCCATATCTTTGGAATAAAGTTGTTTTGCCAAACTTTAATATTTTTTACACTTTTCCAATTTTTAAACATAAACTCAAAAATTTAATTTTATTTTCCGATGACATAATAAGAAACTTCTAATTGTAATTATGTACCTTTATTTAGAACTTTTTAATTGTAAAATACGTTTTATGTTAATTGTAAAATACGTTATATGTAACGACTCTTTTTGTTTTACTTTTCTTTTTGTTTTACTTTTTATATGTAACGACTCTTTTTGTTTTACTTTTTATCTTTTTGTTTTACTATTTACTTTTACTGTTTATTTTATAAATAGATTATATACATTGTAAATAATTATGCTAAATGCTTGTAAAAGGTTCTGATGATAAGATCAGTACGATCTTCTTTCAGAAACCTTGTTTGTATTTGTTAAAGTATTGTATTACGACAAATGTAAACTTAAAATGTAAAAAAAAAAAAAAAAAAAAAAAAAAAAAAAAATTATTAGAGTTGAAAGTTACAGGATGAGAAAAGATGAGGTTTATAGAGTAAGATAACGTGAGTAGAGTAAGATAAGAAAGGGCATCATTGGAAGATCCGCCCAAGATATGGCAACAGTATTTTATACAAAGACGGGTTTGACATTTATAGAAATAAAGAATAGAATCCGGAAAAAGAAAAATTTTAATTTAAAAAAAACCAGGCTGTGCATTTAAACAATAAAGAATTTGGAAAAAACGATATAACGTCTTACTGCCAAAATAAAATATGCTCCGTAATTTACGAAACGCTAAATTTAACTATAGGACAAAACAATTAAGATCAAAAGATTTCCGTTGTGGAGTCTTTACCAAAACTAAAAACAGCCTTTTAAGTCCAATAAAAATTACAGTGCAAAAGAGTAAATGAAATCTCCTAAAAAGCATGCAATTTCTATTTTTTAAATAAGTTTGGCGTTGCGTAATTCATGGACGATCCCTTAATGGATGTAAGTAAATTTAGTTTTATACTGCAGATGTTTACTAAATTTCTTTTTTAACGCGATTTTATAGCTTGAATGCGAGATTTGTGCTCTGACTTGAACTGCAAGCCAAGTCACAAGTCATTTGTAAAAATCGAGTAACAAATTTTCTTTTATAATGTCAAATTATGTCAACTTTAAATAATAATAGAGATTTGGATATTGCAAAATAATTTTAAGTTGAAGAAAAAATGAGCTTGATTATTTAGCTTGAGGTCATTTTGAAAAATCTCTCTAATTTTAATGATTTTCAGAATAATTTTCCTTGACTTTTCAAGGTTTTCACTGATTTTCTAAATTTTAAATCGTTTTTTTTGTTTTCCAGGTTTTGCCCGAGTGCTATGAACCCCGCTACAACATAAAAATATTTTGTTAATGAATATTTAAAGGTTTAAGGTGGTAGACCACTATTAAAAATCAAAAAAATTATTTTCTTAATTATAATTTTTTAAAGTAATATAGCTATCGTAAATTACAAATTTCAAGTTAGTTTTATAGAAAAAAATAGCTAACACGATTAAAAACTATTTTCTAATAAAGCGGTATAAGTAAATTTTTTTATTTTTCCATAGCAACGCTTTGTTTATTCCGTTGCTATACAACTAAAAAGGAAATTGTATCATATTATAGTATATATTTTTAATGTAAAATAACAGATGTGATGATTGCAACTCTAAAACTACTTTTTGTTTATTGATTTATACTTTTGGTGCATTTGGCTACATGAGTTTTATTGAAATTTTCAAATATAGTTGTTGTTTTCTGTATCCTTCTACATTTATTTTTGATTAAATAATATTAGTAATGGAAAGTAATGGAAAAATAATAATAATAATAATAAAACAAGGCATAAAAAAATATATTTATTTCAACTTTTTAAAGAAAACCAAAATCAATCAACAAACAGTGCAGTTGAAGAAATTGTATCTAATTTGCATGAACTAAAATTTGAATGTAGCATAGCAAAAAAAAATTTAAATGGACATGTCTACATCCAGATCCAGCAGTAAATAATCTGTAAAACTTTTAAATGAAAAGTTTTGTTGTTTTATGAACATGTTTGATCCCATAAGGAAATTTTTTAACTATTTAAACAAAGAAATTATAACATAGCTGAAGCTAGCATGAATGCCGCAGCGAAGAAGCTCTGAAAAAAAGTTTATATTCTGAAAATAAAACTATAATAAGAACACAGTAGTTAATGAGGATATTTCTTATGGTGCATAATAGTTTTTGTTTATATTTATATATTTTTAGTTTATATATATACTTGATATTTATTTACTAGTGATAACTATTGGCATAAAACTGATAGGAGTTTTTATTTGAAACTAAATTACAAATCAAAAGTGAGACTTTTTTTTTTAATGAAATCTAACTTTGAAAGTATTAATGCCTGTTATTAAAAATTATCTTTTCAAACAATTTTTTTATAATTTTCTCTACAACACTTTTAATATAAGTTGATATTTGTCAATAGGCTTTTTAATATTTGTTTGAAAAATTTTATGCTTTTTTTTGTTTAAATGTGTTTTTCTCAGATCTCTAAAATTCACGACTTTGCGGTGAATATCTCAAGATTTTCTTAATCAATTTCCATGAAATTTTCCGAAGTTGTTCTTTTTGTTGCTATGGATGTCCCCTACCACATTTATGACAATACGATAATCCAATTTAAAGATATTAAAGCTCAAATATGGTCAAAATAGCCTTATTTTTTGATCGTCAAATGTTTTTCTTATAAAAAAAATTCTGTTCAGTAAATTTTCTTGATTTTGGTAAAGGATCTTCTTTATTGTATTAAAAGTAAATATAGAAAATTTCAAGTTAATAGCTTCAATAGTTTTTGAGATAATCACCGCAATAATAATGATATTTTTGGATTTCTGAGGCCAAATTTCTGAAATTAAAAAAATTTTTGACCTTTTTTTTTTTAATTTTGTCATTCAAGAGTAAATTTTAGTAAATTTAGATGTAAATAATATCTAAAATGTAATTTTTGAAGGATTTGATTTAATTAGTGGTCTACCACCTTAAATCATATCTTGCATAGCTTAGCAACCGTGATCAGGATTTTTTAGAACGATTAGAAATTGCTTCACTGCTAGATCTAAGTAGTCTTGAAGTTGCTTATTTTATTATTTTATCAAAATTAAAGTAAAACTCCTTTGGTTTACTACAGACAAATACACCCTACAGACAAATACACTCTCAGCCAAATACACCCTCAGCCAAATACATTCTACATACAAATACATTCTACATAATAATACATCCTACATACAAATACATCCTACATGCAAATACATCCTACATACAAATACATCCTACATACAAATACATCCTACATAAAATTACACTCTACAAATGTCTGTGCTAAATTTAACAAGTAAACTTTAAATATTATTCATAAAAAGATTTTTTCATATATATACAAATTAATTACAAACCTTGAATTTTATAACTATAAAAAATGTACATAGATAAAGAATTCTGTCTATTTAGCCAGAAAATATATAAATACCAGATATCAATAAAATATAAAGATTTTGATATAAGCGTTGATAAATCAGAAGAAAAAAATTCATTTAATTTAGTGGAAGAAATTTTTGAAGAAATTTAAGTTTGTTAACGATTTTTTAAAAAAGCACTCATAAAGTCGATAGGAAGAGGAAAAATAATGGTGGAATTTTTTTCAGCAGATATTGCTTGAAGCGTTTGTAAATATCGAAGTTGAAGAGCACTTGGTGACTCACTAATAACATCGGAAGCTTCTTTCAAAGCACGAGCTGCGTTCATCTCGCCTTCTGCAGCAATAACCTAAATTTGATAGTAGCAAACAAAAGATTTACAATTTATAGGATTTTTTTAAGTTACTTTACACATTTATTCTGCCTTGAAAAATCAAAAAACTTTGTTGTGTATCAGAAAATCTATGTTTATCTTAATCTACAAATTTTCATTGTTTACGAGAGTGTTTTTCTCCCCGGGCCCCTACCATGCCTGATGGTCCTGGGCCTCACTATAAATCAAGATACACAACTAAAACACACAAAATTACAAATTAATAATAACTACTTATTGTTTATATACATCATATTAGCAAAGACAATACAATAAATATAATTTATTTCTGCGAATAAATTATAAATTATTAATAAAAATAAATTATATACAAAGACATCGTAAAGCAGTCATATTATTGTTAGAGTAAATTATCTTGAGAGACTGAAAAATTAATTTATTACAAACAAACATTAAGTGTTTGTTTGTCATAAATGTTTAAATTCGTGTTTTTATTGAGTCATGCGTATATATTTTATAAAAGCCAAGGGCCCTGATGAGGATAAAAATGTCTTGGTACAAAATTATTTTGCACGTTGTAAGGAGGCACCCTCTTTACGACTATAATTTTATTAAGACATTAAGAACATGTTAATAATCATAATAATAAGAACATGTTAATAATTATAATAATAAGCACTGGCTTCTTATAAGCACTGGCTTCTTATAAGCACTGGCTTATAAGAAGCCAGTGCTTACCAACCAAATAGGCTCAAAAATATTTAATGGGGTTGAAGATTTTATTATTTAAAATATTATTTCTTAGTTAACATTATATTTCAGCTCTTTGTATTTATAAAAAAATATATAGAGTGAATTGGAATTTAGCTTTAAACACGGTAAAATTAGTTAATCTAATAAATTTCTCATTTTTCAAGAAAAACATTTTTTTTAGAAATTTTTTTTATATAATTTAAAAAAATTTACATTATATTAAAATAAAATATACATTAATATTATAAAACTAAAATAAGAATCTTTGATTTTTAATTTTGTGTTAATGACTATGTTCTTTAAACAACGAAACACAAATAGTATTTGGTTACCATAACCATAAATCTATTTTAGCATGGCAATAATGTGCAGAAAATAAAGTGGAGCAACACTGCAATTTAGGTTGACTATATTTATAAAACCTTGCTTATAGAAACGTGTCGAATAAATAGATAGACGAAGTGCATGGTCAAAGAATAATTTGCACATTATTAGAAACTTCCTATACTCTTGTAATAAAAAAACTATGTGATTAAGGGTTTAACTTATTTTTGCTAAATTTTTTGCCACTTTAAGGGCAATATTTATGCCCCTCGGCCCCTCAGTGCCAGTCGGATCCTGTGAAACTGTGCTGTGTTATTGAAAATGTGACAAAAAATACGGTCATTTATTACACTCTACTATTCATTTATTAGTAAAACTTAAGTTAAAAAAAACTTGAAATACATATCTGAAAATAGCCAACAATTAAATAATGAATTTTTGACTTAAACCCATAACTTAGATTTTAATTCAAAAATTTTTAATTATAATTGATAAACTTTATAAAAATGAAATTTACGATACTTTTTTATTATTCAGAAATTATTTCAAAAACATTTAATACATAAAATTAAGTAATATAATAATATTATTTATTTTTATGTATTAAGAAAATGTGAAAAAACTAAAAATCTGTAAAATATTATTATGCAATGTAAAATATTAAAAAATATTAACGTAATGGCAGAAAATTTAAAAATAAAACTACTGTAGAGATTCAGTTTCTTTAGAAATCAAAAAAAAAAATTTAACTGTTGGAGTCAACCAGTTTTATTTTTTTTTGTTCTTTAACTTTTTTTTTTTATTAATTTCTTAAAACCTAAACACTAGTTGCTTCTAGTTAACAAGTTTGTTCAAAGAGAATTTGTTAAAAAAGAAAATCAAAAAAGTTCAACACTTGAGTGATTTGATTCCACACTTGTGTGATTTGATTCCACACTTGTGTGGAATCAAATGTAATTTGGTTCTACACTTGTGGATTTTAATAACTTTACATAATGACATTTTTATTTACCAACGTCAACAATTTCTGGCATTAAATTGTTTTGCAGATTTTTATTTACCAACGACAGCAATTTCTGGCATTAAATTGTTTTGCAGATTTTACAAATCAAATTGAGTATTTTTATTGCGATGATTTTTATTCACCATAAAAAAAAGAGACACACCTGCCCCCTAGAAATAATAATTAGAATTTAACCAGAAAACAAACATCCCTTTACAATAAAAAAAATAGATTTGTTTTTTTTCCACTTCTAGATCTTCCTTTTAAACACTTTATGATCATTCATCTCTATAGTAGTGAATACTTTATGGTTTCCAGTCAATTAAAAAAACAATTAAAAAAAAAAAATTGAGATGAGAACACTTTTCTTTTTATTGAATGTGCCAACAACAACTTGATTTTCTATTTATGCTGAAGAAAGCACCTTTTTCAAATTTTGAATGAAATAATTAAATTGAGATTTTTTATTAACTATTTTGTTCTTTATGTAAAACTAAAATTATTGGAAATGATTTAAAATAGAATAAATAATTAACTTTACTTACTTTAGCTCGTGCTTCTCTTGAAGCTTCAGCCTCAGCAGCCATTGCCCTCTGCAACATTTGTGGAAGGCGAACATCTTTAATTTCAACTCTTTCTACTTTCACACCCCATGGCTCTGTTGCATGATCAAGTATATGTTGCAAATTTTTACTAATATTTTCTCTCTCCATAAGCACTTCAGATAAATTTTTTGTTCCAAGCTCATTGCGAAGAGTTGTTTGAGCAAGCAACTTAGTTGAGCGACTAGCATCCTCTACATTGCAAACAGACGCAATGGGATTGGAAATACGAAAGTATGTAACAGCATCAACAGAAACAGTTACGCTGTCTCGAGTTAAAATTTCTTGGGGAGGCACATCAAAAGAAATGACACGCAAATCAATCTTTGAATAGTTATCAATACATGGAAGTATAAAAAAAATTCCTGGACCTTTAGCACCACCTTTTAACAGACGACCTACTCGAAAAATAACTGCTCTTTCATATTCCTGCACAATCTGAAAACAATAAATGAACACAGCTATATACAAGCTATATAAGCTAATGCAGCTATATACAAGCTATATAAGCTAACACAGCTATTATTTTAAATACAACTATAAAAATAGATATGAAATATCTAATTCTATAATAGTTTTCTTAGTGAAAAAAACTGAAATATTTTACCTATAAAGTTTTAAAATCTTACAGCAAGTACTATATAAAAAAATAGATAAAAGGTAGAAAATTTTTTTTTCAAAAAGCATCATAAATTTATAGTATATACCTTCAGACAAAAAAGAAGCGAAAATGGAAAGGTGCATATCACAATAATATATGATAATATTGTTAGTACCCAAGCACAAAAACCAAAATCTGTTGTTTCTAAACAAAAAATTAAATGTAAACTAATAGTTTTTTAAATGGAGCAAACTTTTTTATTCAATTTTTTTTTAAATACACACTCATACATATTCTTTTAACAACCCTAAACTGTAAGCAATCTTTAAAACTAATAATAATGATATTATTATTAATCCAGATTCAGACAAAACCTCATTTAAAAGGTAAAAGCTCAGCTAATAGAATATAAACTCTGACAGTAGATGAGTGTATGACAAATATAAGTTATGCTGTCAAACAAAGCCAGGGATGAACCCAGATCTCTTTTGATACCATTGAAGCAGTATGAGCGCACAAAAGTAATTTTTCTTTTGCTTTTTTATTATAAATAAGAAAAATATTTTTAGTTTCAAAAAGTAGTATATTACTAATTTTTTGTTTATTTTAGTTACTTCAAACTGTTTAGTTTAGCTTCAGGACAATCAATTTACATGGTATAACAAAAAACAAACATGTGGCGTAATTCATTTAATGTTTGAAATTTCCATTCGGTTATTAACTGAACATTGGATCCAGGACCCCCCCCCCCAAAAAAAAACAAAAAAAAAAAACAAAAAAAAAAAAAACATAATCCTGAGAAAAAATCCCCTACAAAAAAATTTTTTTCAAAAATACATTTTTGAAATCCCTAAACCTCAGTCAATTTAGCGGCACTCCTTGCATGTTCTACCAACTGTCAGTCGATGCATGTACACTCCTTGTATGTTTTACTTATTTTTCAATTAATGTTTGTAAACTTCTTCTATGATAACTACTTGTCAGTCAATGTATATATATTTCTTGCATGTTCTACCTATTTGTCAGTCAATTTATCTAAAAATGAAGGAATTAGATTTTGCTTGTAACATAATATGTATGTATAAAATATTTTGGTATACAATATTATTATATATAGACAATAGTTATTCAAATACAAGGCATAAGCGTATTTACTATTACGTTAAGTTTACAAATACAAAAAAACAAAAACATGCTACAGCGAATGTTTTTTATAACCACTGCAGACTAGATATGAAGGGGAAAACCCAATCTGATTGTGTAACACTGAACTGATTTAAAAAACTCTGCAGCAAGCGAAAAGATTTAAGATTGTAAAATTAGGCTCTTAACTGGGAGTATAACGGCAAGCAACAAATGCTTGCTAATATCTCATTCAATAATTTGTTTTGTAAAGTTTAATATAAAAATTTAAACTTTCAACTTATTTTCTAATATTTATCTATATATGAACACAACTTGTCTGTGCACTGATCAAAGGTCATGAGATGAAGATCATGGAGATAAATAATTATCTATTTTAAGACTTAAAAAAGTTTTTTTGTTTTATTTATACTTATGAAAGTTTAATTTAAAACATTTATTTGCTAAACTTTTCATCGGGTTCAAATATTCTTGAAATTCTTATTTAATCATGTGAGAATATATTTAATGAAATTTATTCTGTAAAACATATATTCCTTTTTTTATTTTATTTTTAAAATGGTTAAGATTGCAATAAAGTGTAACATTATCGAGTCAATTTTAAAATTGAAATTGTTAAATGAAAAATTTTTTATTTTTAATTTTGGTATTTTTTTTTTATTTGTAATGTTAAGAAACAGGTTTTAATATAAAATACTTGCCGAACACGACATATAAATTGGGAAATATTAAATTTAATGTTTTTTACGTGCGCTGCAACACACATAAAAAACATCAAATTTAATATTTGCTTTAATTAATGAAAAACTGTCTGTAAATTTGTTAAGTGTAAAATCTATATATATATCAAGCCGTGACAAATCGTTTTTTTTTAAATAAACGTTGATGTTCCTTTCTTTATTTATTGATGCATGCCTAATTCAAGAGATATGTCAAATATCAGGGCCAACAACATGGGGAAAGGGGCCCCTCCCCCTTTTTTTTTTTTAATTAAAAGAAATTCTAGATAAAAAGGACTTGTTTTTAGAAATAGATGGTTGTACACCTTCACTTTCAAACCTGTATCAATGGCCATAAATATGTTAGTTTTATTTTCCATTCTTTCAATTTTTATTTTTTTTAATTCAAATAATTTTTTATAAAATTATAAGGGAGTTTTATTTTCAAATAACTTTTATTCTAGTTAATAAGATATATAATTATAAGATATATCAAAGATGCTTATTTAATTTTATCAATTTTTATTAATAGAAAACAATTTTTCATGCAATTGTAAAGCACGCACAAATTAATGATAACTAATATGCAATAACCTTATGACTGTAAACTGTTATCCATTAATACAATATAATAAATTTTTCTCAATTTAGTTTGTTAAATCTATTTACTTATAAAAAAAAGTATAAACTTGGAGAAATTCAAATAAAAGGAAACTAAAAAAAAAATAAAAGTTGTTTTAACATTCCTTTTTTAAGACATTTAAAAATAATATAATATTAAGTATTTAATAATAAAACATATTATTGGTGTTGTTATACTAAACAGTAAAAAATGAAAACTATAATAAGCATAATAGTTCTACATATTCTATTAAACTATATAAATTTTTGCAAATCTTAAAAAAAAATTAAAAAGGGCAAGCAAGCATTAATTTAACGATAATACGAAAATTAAAAAAAGCATGCTTTTGAAGAAAGCAATGTTTTAGCATGGTTTCTTTTAAAGTAATGCATTCATTATAACTGAAAAAATTTCAGTTATAATGAATGCAAATGCATTCATTATAACTCAAATTTCTGTTGTTTTAAAAACACATGTAAAAACCATGCTAAAACATTATTTTCTTCAGTTTCGTACTTAAAAGTAACACTAATGAAGAAAGTATTAGCATGGTTTCTTTTAAAGTCGTTGAAAATGTGTTTTAAATTTTAGTAACTTGTTTTTTATAATAATTGTTTTTTTTTTTTTTTTTTGATAATTATATTTTTTTAAATAAATAAAAAACTATCAATGACATAATTAATTGCTGAAGTTATGAATTCATTTAAAAAAATTTTAAATGAACACCAACGTTTGCTTAAGTAAAAGTAAGAAAATAAGACATTCGTTTTTCTGTCTTTTTTTTACCAAACGTCCGCACGTTCGTCAAATTGTCATGCCCTCTATATTTTCAAACTAAAAATTAAAGAATTCAGCAAATATCTTTCATAAATGATGTTTTTTCCAAAAATTATTTATTAATTAAAAATTTAAGAGTTTGTAAAATGTCATTTTGATAGGAGAACAAAAATGTCATAGCAATAAAAGACTTAGATAAACTAGAAAAAAAGTTCACATTGTTTACATAAAAAGAAAAAAGATTCAGAATATATAATAAGGTGATCAACCTCTTTTGTATAAATTATATTTAAGAGTCATAAAAATCTTGGTTCTCACGCTCTAAAAAAAAAAAACATTCTTTTGTTTAGCTTCCTATAAAATTTATAGGCAAGTCATACGATTGCTAGTAAATACTTGTTTTAAAAAAACAATTAAAATAAAAAACAAAAAATATTGATTCAATAAAAAAAAATTGATTGTTAAAAAAGTTCTACAATGACGTCAAATACTTAAACTCTTTGGAGTTAAACTCGCTTGAATACACTTAAAAGTCTGCAGATTGCAATGTATATTTTAAAGACTTAAAGCAACAGGTTAACATAGAGATGACGAGCTTTGAGTAAAACAACAAAGTTTATTATTTTGTTTTATGAAAAAAAAATTCAGCTAAAACATTTTTTATTATCATTTTCTTTATTATAAACACAATTTGCCTTAGTACTTTGGGATCCCTTTGAGTAGACATAACTGTGTCATCATTGTCATAGTGAAAAGACTGCTATATTAACTACTAATTCAGCTGAACATTATATAAAATTTAGTGTTTAATTTGCTTTATTAGCTAACATTTCAAACAAATATACTTTATGAATAAGAAAGTGTGCATTTATATTCCTATAGATACATCTAAATAAATTTTTGAATAAATAACATATTTTCTATATAGCATATACAAAATATTCTTTTACATGTAACATTTATTAACTTCTTTCTCCAGTTTATGCTATACCTGTTATCTTTAGTTGAAATACAAAAAACAAAACGCAACATAGTTTCTTGAAACTAAACAGCCAAAGATAATTTACTTCTGGCATTTCAAATACACTCTAAATAAGCACTAGTATATTATGGAACGTTTTGGGAAATTGGCCCACATTTCCAGATTAGTTAAATACTATGACTATGACTTCAATTACTGCTTCAAATTATGAATGATAAAAAAATTAAAAGTAAGTTGGAATAAATTTTTCTAGTTACTTAATATCCCCTAGTTTACTGAAATAAGTACTACAATAAAATATTGATAGCAGAATGATGTTATAAATTCTATTGAATAATAAAAAACAAATCATGATTTTTTTTGACTTATTCTGTTTTAGTGTAAATGATTTTTTTTTTAAATTATTGTTAATTGGTTAGAATATAATAAAAATACCTTAATATAAATTTTAAATAAAATTGATTTTTAACCAATTCTAACCAACAAACAGAAGTGTTTTTTTTAAAATATAAATTAAAAGTTCTTTTGAGCTTCCTAACAATATTAGTTAATCATAAAATAACTGTTTAAAAAATTTATAATCGTATTAAAACTAATGTAAACTCACAACTGGCTTATTAATTTATAAAAAAAGGTATGATTAACTAAATATTTTCATGAACAAAATTTTAGATAAATAAAATAATTTATACCTGATCCAGAAGATATATTCATAGAAGCATAATCTTGCTTAGGCACTGGTGAAGACATGTCTTAATAGTTAAACTATAACAAAGTTATATGCAGCAAAAGATTATAAATAATACTACTTTCAATATATATATATATATATATATATATATATATATATATATATATATATATATATATATATATATATATATATATATATATATATATATATATATATATATATATATATATATATATGTATATGTATATATGTATATATACATATATACATATTTATATATATATATACATATATATATATATATATATATATATATATATATATATATATATATATATATATATAACATATACATATATATATATACATACATATATATATATATATATATATATATATATATATATATATATATATATATATATATATATATATGTGTGTGTGTGTGCATATATATGTATATATACATATATATATATATAAAAATATATATATATATATAATATATATATATAACATTTATATATATATATATATATAACATATATATATATATATATATATATATATATATATATATATATATATATATATATATATATATATATATATATATATATATATATAAATATGTATATATATACATATATATATATATAAAAATATGCATATATATATATATATATATATATATATATATATATATATATATATATATATATATATATATACATATAGACCTCGGCGGGAGTAAATGAGTATGAGAGGGGAGAAAAGCTCTCCTAAAATATGCAAGCTGCTTCTCCAAACAGCTTTTTACGAGAGCTTTTTCTTTTTGCACAAGCTATCTGTTTATTACTTGAAAAAATTGCTTATTAAATATGAAATTTGTTTTTATACTTGTTACAAGCATATGTTTGTAACATTATTATTACAAGAATTTGTACATAACAAGCATCATTTATTGTGCCATAAAAATTTTTTTTAGACAAGTGTTGTCTTTAGGTTTTCACATTAGCTATCTATTTGTTAGTTAACTACATTACTTATTTGATAAAGAATTCAGTTATTAAAAGAATTTTTTTAACAATTAACAATTCCACAATAAAAGTAAATAATAAATTAAAGTAAATAATGTATAAAATATATAACTCATTACATAAAATAAAAATTACTATGCAATAATTTAAAGTGTAATAATTTTATACTTTATCAGTGGAATAATCTTATATTTTATCAATATAATTTAGAGTGTTCTAATTTTATATTTATCAGTTAGTCCAATTTAATCAAAAACATGTGCATTTAAACTATGGATTCTAGACGGGAAGCTAAATCAAGGAGATTTTTTTGAAAATATGAAGAATATGTCCCCTTTAAACTAGCTTTGCAATACTGTGAGGCATAATGAGCAAATAAAAGTTGATGATTATGCAGAAAAGATTTATAACAGGGATCCAAAAAAAATTATGGAGCAGAATTATGTGTATCAATATCAATAAAAGCTGTAAGCCATGTTCCTAGTGTGCGAGGAACTACTGGAGATAATGATGCAGCCAATAAGTATAGACCACTTTTAAGCAATGTACAACTCAAAAAAAAATACAAAGTATTCAATATAATAAGTTTCTTATTAAAATGTAACTTTATTGAATTGTATTGAAAGTTAAAGTTACTGTTAAAGATTTTGGGCTTCTAGTACTAGTTTAAAAATGTGTAATGTAATGTCAATGAGGTTTTACAGTAATAAAAAATTAGGAAAAAGCAGTTGGTCTTGATGGTTTATATATGGAATTTTTTATATATGGTGGAGTTAGTAATATAAGTTCTATAAAGTTACATCTTTTAATTAATATGTTTTCAATCTCTATTTAAGGCACGAGTTTTTACCATTTCACAAATCCTCCATTATTCCTTTGGTGAAGTGCAAAAAGACCCACTTAACTGATGCGAATAACTACAGGGCTAATACAGTATCACCGGCTATATCAATGATATTTGAAACCATTTTTTTATAAAAAATAAATATACCAGACAAAATAGATGATTATCAACTCAAAACAGAACAGAAGCATTTTATCACTTTATGCATCAGTTATTTAAAGAGAGCTATTAACTACTACTTATTTAGAATTATGTTCTTACATCTATGATAGATTTTAATAAAGCATTAGTTGATAATGTTGATTATTGGTTATTGTTTTGCAATCTATTTAATAGTTTTGATATTCCTTACAATAGTTTTGATACTGTTATTCCTCACAATAACTTTGACATTCCTTGTTCTAATAATTAGAACAAGGAATATTAAAACTATTGTGAGCCTGATTGCATTCTTGTACAATAATTAAAAAATAAGTAAATAATATATCAGATGATATGGATAAAAAAAAAATGAGATGAAAAATTTATACATTCAAACAAATATATTGATAGGATACTTTTTTAGGTGCTCAACCTAGTTAAAGTAAAGCTCTTCCTATCACATCTTGGGTATGAAAAGTATTGCAGTCTCACTTAGATATTTTCAGAACTAAATTCAACTTTTAATACTATGTCTAACTGTAGGATCTGTTTAAAAAATCAGCTTGTCACATGTGCCAAAAGAAACATCACTATTGATTTTATAATTAGAAAATTATTACTTCTGAATAATAAGTTGTTATAAATGACACTTTCTTTACTTTTACTTTTTCTATTCTTTATTAAATTATATTCAATTTTAAAGGGTGCCTATTTATGTGTACAATGTACATTGTACATGTTGTTTGATTGCCTATTTATATGTACATGTTGCTTGTTTTGAAATAAATATACAAATAACAAAAATAATAACAATAATAATATATCCAAATATGTTAAAGTATTGTACAAAAAAAGTGCTCAATATTCTTAATTCGAACGACATGTCAGCTAAAATCCATCATTATGGTAATTTTATTGCTCAATATAAATCATCTTATTTTTCACTCTCATCTCAGATATGCTTGTCAAGTTTGGAGACAACCTAAGCAGCTTGCAAAACTAACTTATCTCCAAAATAAACTCTAAAGTTAATTTATTTCCAACATATTAATTCAAACTGAAGCATACTCTATTTATTATCTAAAGTCCTTAATTTGTGTGACCTTATTCAGTTATCAAATTGTTTATTTGTTTGGGGCCAAAATCACATTTACCTTTTTCTTACATTTATGAATTCTTTTAATTATAGGAAAAATTATATTTATATTCTTTGATCTGCTTGCAACTTTAAGCTATCTGTACCTAAATGTTGAACTGCTCATTACGGTTATGAACCTATAAAAGCATACAAATATGGAACAATCTCCCTTCTTAACGTAAATCTCATAAATCATTTTAAAAATTTAAAACTGCTCTCTTTAATTATTTTTTAGAAAAACATTGTTTATAAATCTTATACTTTTCTACAACTTATTATTTATAACCTGAGCTTTTATTTATCTAATATTTTTTCTCTTTTCTGTTATGTTATAATATTAATTTTAATATCTTTTGTTAAACTTATCATTTTAATCTTTCTTAAACTGAAATATTTTCATTAGTATTATAGTATAGTATATACTTTTTATAATGTTTAATATTACTTTTAATCACTGTTATCACTAACAATATTTATTTATTTATTATTATTATCATTTTATTATTATTGAATTTGACAAATATTTACTTCATATTAGCACTAATTACTATTTGTAAAAAACCTTGATGTAACAACTTTATTCAGAATATATTCAATTTGATTTGATTCGATTTGATTTGATTTAAATAATATAGTAAAATATATCTAACTTTTTTCTTTTACTGCCAGTTTATTTTTCAACATAATAATCAGGAAACTGATGTATATAGTATTTATAACTATTTGTAAATTTATTTTCAGAATGTGCATTACTTGCAATGAAACGGTAGATACATGTACAACTTTAAAAAAGTTAAAATCATTTAAATTTTCAACACTAAGATAACGCAAGCATCAGTTTGTCTTTTATTTAATATTTCCTATTAAATTTTTAAATTCCTATAAACTTTTATTATATAATATTTTTATTTTAAATTTGTTTTGAATCATATTTTTCCGATATTTTTTTCATTGAGTAACGTTTGATACAATCGATGGTTTTACTTTGTTTTTTATTTGAATTTTTTTTTCGAATCTCGTGAGATTATTTTTCACTTTAATTTTTCTAAAAAATTTTTTAATGTTTATATAAAATTAATCTCTTTCTGTTTTTTGTAAATAGTTATAAGGCTTATATACTATAAGATTCAGCAAAACAGCTCTTAAGTAAAAATGTCCTAAATAAAATTTTAAAACGTACAACTTTTGCAATGTTTTTTTGTATTTCTTTTTTTCAATATTTAAGAAAAAATTATGTAAATAAGTCTAGAAATTAAATAACATCAATTAGTAAATAAAATTACTGTTAATAAATAATATCAATATATGAAACTACGAAAACATCACATTTCTTATATACCTGATATTTCTTATAAAAATACCATAACAGAAATTTATATACGACTTTCACACTGCATACGTTAATTCCCCAATTATAAAAAAAAAAATTGTATAACTCTTTTTTTTTATTTAAATAGCTGAAAGTTACACAGCAACAAAAAATATCGTAGCAACTAGTAACTCGATTAATTAAGTATCATTACTAATTAATAAAGTATTTTTTTAAATATTTCAAAGTTTAAATGTTTTTTTTTTACACTTTTAATGTTCAATTTCAATAATTCTTTCGAGAAGCAAAGTCACCATTGAATTTGATTGTCTTTTTTAGTTTAGTTATGCTCTTGGTTAAGTTTAAAAATTAAAGTTAGAGAATTTTTCCGTTATCTTTCTTAAAAAATAACGGGTAAGATAACGGGAAGGAATTTGATATTTGAAAATAATATTTGAAAATAATATTTGAAAGATATATAAAAATACCTTAAGTATCCCAAACAGATCAGAGGAGCAAGCGTTACAAACTTTAAATGATTAAATTTTTAATAATATTCTAACATTATTTTTGATGGAATTAAAATCTGCTTCATTATACAAAAATTGTGGGTTTTTTTTTGTTTTTTTTAATTATTATTATTATTGGAGGGTAACAGAGGCGATTCCTATTTGGCAGATCAATTATTGATATTATCTAATTACTAAAATTATAAGACTGTCTAACTAAATAAAGGTTGTAATTTATATACTTTTATAACAAACTTTAGTTTTTATGGCGCGTTATTTGGATAAACATTATATCCAACCAAATTTTTAATTTTTTAATTTTTTAATTTTGAATTCTTTTAAATCCAGTTTTAAACACAGCAAAAAACAGTGCTTAAAGTGCGGGTTTTTTTATCATTATAAAATACTTTTGGTAAGGCAACGAAGGAGATCAATTATTAAAATCTTAATATAATATTATTATAATAGGTTAGTTCAAGACTGTCGAAATATTTGTCAACTTTTAATTAATAGCAATTTAACACGTCTTTATTATTCAACAATCCAGTTTTGTAGTTGTTGTGTGAAACTTAATTACTCACATAACAAGTAAAATAAATGTTTGTAGAGATGAATAGAGGTTTAAAAGTAAACAACCTCTTTTCTTTTTTTGCATGCATATTTAAAATTGTTTTTTTTTTTTTGCATGTGATTTTTTTTTAATTTGAAGGAGGGGCGGGGGGTACCATAAGAAATGTTGTAAAATTTGATTAGAACTTAAGAAAAATATCATCTTTACTTCATGAATATATCCTATATAATTAAAAAAGTGTACGTTTTTTTATCTTTTATATATATATATATAGGGCCTTCGAGAGAGCCAATGGCGCCCGGGTCAAAAATGAAGAGCGGCGCCCTTAATTCATACCAAGAAATTGAAATTCTAAAATTTTAAAAATTTTGTCAACGCAGCAATTTATTTATTTCTGATACAGCACATTGTACTTTTGCGTTACTTTTAATTCTCTGGATCAAGAAACGATTCACTAATCAAAACTGATATATGAATCAAAATATTAGTTTCAAAACTATTAAAAAATCAATCAATAAAATTTTTAAGAAAGGTAAAAAATTGCTTTAAAATGATTTTTTGAGCTTTTTTGGCCGTCCAAATTTTAATTACGTTCTTGTAACTCACCTTTTTACTCGAATCTTCTTTAATCAAAATAATCAAATACCAGTAACGTGATCCTGACACATGGTCGATCGAAAAGAGTTTTTTTACAACTTTCAGTTTACAAAACAATCGTTCACCCTCAGCAACTGACTTAAAAATGGTGTTGAAAATTCGAGGCATGATGCAAATATATGGAAAAAGGCGTTCAAGCTTCTTCTAAAAGATTAGATCAAGAAACTGCATTAGATTGCTTTCTTGAAAACTGTGTGTGGGCATTGGTAAAACGGCGAACTTCTTCTTTTTGCTTACATCTCTTGGATAAAGCCGTGCGAGTTCTCATACTTTATTTTAATCGGAAAGATTATTATTATTCAATCTGAAGAATAAAAATATTGCCAACCACCCTACAACCACCCTACAACCACCCTGCTTGTTTCAAATCTTGAATCAATCTGCTTGATAAGATCATCTAAACAAACGTTGTAAATGTTCACTTTAAATTCTTTTGTTTGGCTTTCATGGAAATGGACTGTGTTTCATGCCTCATCATGAAAGCGCTTTAGCTCACGCTTTCTTTTAGGAGCAAGTTCAATTTCGAATCCTAGCGGTCAACTACAACTGCAGCCTCTTAGAAAACTTACAACCAAGAGCCCTAATCTGTTTAAGACAAACATCGTTAACAGTAGTAAGAGTTTTGTACCGAATCTTATCGAGCAATACAAATTCAAAAGATCACAATTATTTTTTTAAATCTCTTGTTTGGCTGAGCTGTTCACTGGTCAGATCCTGATTTTTCATGATATGTTTAAAAGCTGCCAACATTTCTCTTGGCCTCTTGGCAAGTGGTTTGATCAAGTTAGTATGAGATCTCTATCTTGTCAGAGAAAGTCTATGCATTGAAATTCCAGTCGCCTTAGTGAGAATCTTTCATCGGGTTAGACTTGGACTTAAAAATACTCAACATTTTTGAAGAATACTTTGATCTCAATGGCTGATTCAACTGCGAGCACACCTGCCAAAATCAGACTGTGAGCGCTACAGGGAACGTACAAAGCTTCTGAATAATTTAGCCTTATCAAGCCCTGATCTCCCTTGTAAGCACCTGACCTACTAGATCCTTTATCATGTCCCTGACCACGACATTTTTGAATATTCATACATAGCCTTAAAATCACATTTTTGAATACTCATACATAGCCTTATGATCACATTAGTGATAAGCTTAGCTATATCAAACCCTTTCTTCGTCTCAAAAGTATCAATTCATCATTCTTTAATTTTCCAGCAAGTAATTTCTCTTTCATAGAGGAGAAAACAGATGACAATGGTTATTCGCTTAGTATAAGATATATTAGGCGTACCTGAATTTCCTGAATTTCTTCGACAGCTGCACTTTGGATAAACCATATTCTTTGGTAAACTTGTAAATGGACATTATTATTTGCATGAGTCAGCTGTTCGGAAGACACAGTAATTTGATTGATGCAAGCCGTAAACACCATAACAAAAGGAAAAAATCATTAAAAAGTTTGAGACGACGGAAAGAAATAATGGGCTCTCATTATGGAGCCTTCTTGTTGATGTTGTCATTATAAAGTTTTCTCAATATCAATTTTAATTATTAATATAATTATTACAATAAATTATTTATAATTATTGTATACATTTTCTAAGTGGGTGTTACAAATTATTGTAATAATTATAATAAAAATTATATCTGATCTTGAGAAAACTTGATAATGAGCTTCTTGTCACATAGAAACTTCTATTGAAGAAATTAGAAGATTTTTTTTTAATGATTTTTTCCTTTTGATATGGTGTTTACGGCTTGCATCAATCAAATTACTGTGTCTTCTGAACAGCTGACTCATGCAAACAATAATGTCCATAATTTTTAAAAATATATAAATTACCGTTTTCCCCTTATGACAACATAAAGTTCTAAATATAATATTATAAACTAAAAAAACATACAAAATTACAATAGAAGAGTACTTAAACTTAAAAAGCAAAGCATGTTAAATAATTCACTAAATTTAAACATATAATAATTTTTTTATCAGCAACCAACAAAAAATTGCAAATTTTGACTAGTTCAATATTTATGTTGTTAAAAAGTGTAAATATGTTATAATGAGAAAGAAAGAAGTTAAAACCATCAGCAAACATAACGTCATAAGGTTAAAAGCTTTTCGTAGATCATTAATATATATTAGAAATAGGAGAGGTCCTAATATGGATCCTTGAGGAACTCCACATGAAATATTTAACAAACTAGATGATATGTTATCATCTGCATAAACAAATTGTTTTGAATTATTTAAGTAACTTTTTAGCCAAATTAATATATTTCTAGTGATTCCGTACCGCTCCAACTTTTATTAAAAGAATTACGTGATCAATAGTGTCTAAAGCTTTTGTCAAGTCAATGAAAACACCTAAAGTAAATTCCCTAAAGTTAAATCCCTTTGAAGCCAGGAAAACAACCAAATTCAAAATTTCATGAATAATTGTCAGCCATTTAGCTGTCTCAGAATTTATTCACTAATGGATAATTTATTCACTAATGGTAAGATGAATGTAGGCCTCTTTCCAATAATTGTAGAACCTTTAGTGCAATTGGCTGCATTGGTGCTGCTTCACACGACTTATGAGTTTCCTTCGTTGATCTCTAGCTCCTCATTTTCAACGAAAAAGGGACAATTAGCCGCATTTAAATACTGCTTTTGTGCTGGAGATCTCTTTAAAATAATTGCATCTTGATCATTTTGACTCAAAACAACTGCCCACAAAGAAGGGTTAGCATTACTTATTACCAAGTTAAGTTGAGCTTTGCATTCTCCACTGTTAGATAAAGTTCATTTTTCTGACTCTAATGATTCACTTTGAAATTCATTAAGCTCAGCTTGAGGGAAATTGTTTAAGCCCCCACAGATCTACAGTCCTTCGAATAACATATTGAGTGCAGTAAATTATCCTTATTGGGTGCAGCCAAGATTCAAAAAATCAAATATTGGCCGGGTCCTGGTAGAGTCAATTTATTGTGAAATTGACCACAACTGTCTCGTTCGCTTCAACTTCTTCAACAACCGTATAGTTAAAGAAGTTGAAGCAAACCCATGGAATGCACTACCTATTAGAGTTTTCAGTGCTATCTGTGTCAACTCCTTCAAAGCAAAACTTGATGAGTTACCATTATTATTACCACAGCACATAACCTTCCTTACAATCGAACATGAGCTAGCATTGCTAAATGTTCATGGGCTTACAGAACACGCCCGCTTCTGTCTAATTCTACAACAGCTAAATCCTATTTTTTTCGTAAAATTAGTTTATTTATAGTTATAAGAATAGAATTTAAAACTTAAATTATTTTTTTCATGTGCAATTTTATTCCAAATACTAAAGTTTTAATATTAAATGCAAAAACTAAGCAGATTTCAGATTGTCAGT